GTAAATTATTATTCAGGGGGTTGGACTCGATGGTCCTTGTGGTCTATTCCAACTCTATGATTCTATGATTATTATTAATATTATTATTATCATCATCAAATCAATTTTAATTTTGAACTCATATTGTGCTTATTACTATATATATATTTCCATTGTGTGTCTTAAAAAGAAAATTCCAATGGTTTTGAAAGTGAACGATAGTCAGAAATGGCAATTGTAACTAGAGACAAAGAATCTGAATAATGTATTTAAAAAAGAGAATTTGTTAATGTGTATAGACCCACCTGGAAAGAAGTACCATTTGGAAATGAGTCAAATTTAGTGAAATCAAAGTGCTTTGTTGGATTTTCCTAGCTCAGAATCCATACAGTTTGCAGGATAATAGGAAAATATAGGGGAGGGTACTATACAAGTGCATTGTGGCAGGAAGTCTCCTAAAATTCAGCAGTCAAAAAAGGCTGGGAAACCCTTATTTCGTTCCTTCCTTTCATTGTCCATCAATTTCTGGAGTCTTGGTTTTTTCTCCTACATACCAGATACTCCTCCGAAAGTTCATTTTCAAGGCGGGTGCATTTTGCCATAATCCCCCCATGTCAGTGTACGCTGGAATCTCCTGCACTTCACTGCAATTTCCCATTCCCCAGGCTGAGTGTCATTTTCAGATACTTGTCCTTTCCCAACTTTTTTTCAATAATTGGTATTGCTCAGAAAAAATACATTTCTCTATATGTAAAATCAGAATGATTTGAGACAACACTGAGTCCCCCATTTCAATGCAATGGGAAAGTCTGGGCACAACATGTGCATGTTTACATGCCTATGGTCACCTCTAGTCAGTCTCTAAATCATATACCTGAATTTTTTCTGTGCATTAATAAAAATGATTAAAATATTTATGGGGGAGAAATTACTTCTTTCTCTATTTATTTTTTGAAGCAGTTTTTTTTTCCTGGTAAAGGGAAGTGATATGGAAATGCATGAACAAGTGTGTGATACTGATCAATTGATGGAAAGGTGCGAAACCATCATGAAAACTAACGAGGACGAAAGCTCAATAAATAACATATCATGTAAAGCTTATGTGTAAGTTTTGTGAAGCTTTTCAGGGTGAAACCTCACTGAACAAATGTTCTGCAGGGGCCCTGGGATATATAAAGCAATGTTCTGGATGCATTTGACATCTTCTGTGTCTGTATTAAAGATTCCAAGCTCACATGACATGGAAAGGGGGGGGGTTACTTACATTGGAATATCAAACGGCTGATCTTCAGAAGGGTGTATCTTAAAGATAAGTTTGGAAAATGGAGATGTGGTCTGAGAGGCAACTCCACCAATGATGAGGTCCCCTGATTGGTACCAGCTTTGAGGACCATGGAGGGGATTGTTTTCGGCACATTGCATGATTTCTCTTGTGCACTTTATGAACAGTAGGAGAAACTGGAACACACGGAGCTTTGCAATTACACTACCAAAGCTTCTCCCTGGAGCAGGTCCTTCTGCATTCATCTAAACGCTAATGATTAGCATCAGTCTTCTTCTTCTGCTGCTTCAATTATAATGAACAGCAGTAGTCAGAACTGCACCAATCTTATCTTCAACAACAAAGTTGGAAAGTACATGCCTTGTGCAGCAGAAAACTTGAATTGTGCCCCCCACCCCAACCCTGCCCTGGACCACACATGTGGAAGGATTTATAGCCACATCAGAGTTGCATATACATTGTTGTTCTGTGTTTTTCAACCATACACTGGAAACAGTCGGCCAAGACAATGAAATACAGTGATTGAGATAATTGCGATGGAGATAATTACATTCGATGAAATATTGGCCTCTGGCGGACACCACTTGTAAAAATCCCCCCCTCCTCTGCTCTCTGATGGCAAAGTAACTGGGAGGAAGAGTCAACAGAATCAAGTGAGCAAACACCAGCTTCAAGTTTTGGCTCTTGGGTTGCATCCGATAAAGTGATGAAATATTCAGCCTAGATGTGGGAATGACACAACCGGAACCCGTTGCCCATGATAGCAACACAGTAAGGGGCCTGTTGTGGTGGATGAAATATCTATGTAATCCAGCGTCCTGTTTGCAACAGTGGTCAACCACAGATACCTATAGGAATTCCATGTACTGTACAGGACAATAGCAATTCCCTGCTGCTTATTTCTGGCAGTGGTGAATTAGTCTTAAAATGCATAGGTTGGTTGGCCATCACCATATCTTGTGGCAGTGCATTACCTGGGCTGCCTATGTTTTATATCAGAGCTGGGAAACCACTAGTCTAATTTTGGTCCACCAGGTATTACAATGTGTCCCATGAGGCCATTTTCCCCATACTGTGATATCTTGCCCCTCATCTGATGTCACTGCTGAGGTCCTCTGATGGACGAGGAGACAGGGTTTAATCTTGCATTGACTGTCTGCCCAGTTTATGGCAGGGCACAGGCACATACAACCAAGGCAGATGATAATCACCTAGCCATCTTGCCACCAGTGCTGCTATCTTCTTGCTTGCTCACAGTAGAAGCTGAGCTTCTTCATGGTGCTCTTTTTCCTTACTGTATAACCCAGATGTGGGGCATGTTAGGCTCCCAGGCCTTTTTATCTGGTCCTTGGAACTCATCGCAAGCTACATCCCACACTGATCCTGCTTTGCATACAAATCTTGCCCTCCTGTGGAGGATGGGTCAGTGTGTCTGGCTGGTAACCAGAAGGTTGGTGATTTGAGCCCACCCAGGGATGGCTGTGGGCAGGATTCTTACACTACAGGGAGTTGGAATCTACAGTTATATGATTCTCCCTGTGTAGAATGTCCCTGTGAATTCTAATACTGCACAGTCTCTTGCTTATCTGGATGGAGGACCGAAAGGGATATGCAAAGATGGGCAGACACTAGCTTACTGTAGCAAACTAATACAGTGGTACCTCGGGTTAAGTACTTAATTCGTTCCGGAGGTCCGTTCTTAACCTGAAACTGTTCTTAACCTGAAGCACCACTTTAGATAATGGGGCCTCCTGCTGCCACCGCGCTACCGGAGCACGATTTCTGTTCTCATCCTGAAGCAAAGTTCTTAACCTGAAGCACTATTTTTGGGTTAGCAGAGTCTGTAACCTGAAGCGTATGTAACCCGAAGCATATGTAACCCGAGGTACCACTGTAATCACATTTGCTGTCATAGCTACTTGTCTCTGGACCTTGACATGTGGCTCTCAGGAGCTTGCCAAAAGGGGTATGTGACTCTTGGGTGAAATTGGTTCTCCAGCCCCTGATATAAGCAATGCTTTGGCAACCTCTGACTTTCCAAATCTCCCTAGGTTTGTTGTACACTAGTACAACACTAGTTGCTCTAGCACAAACAATGGTTGGGGATGGTGGAAGTTGTAGTCCAACAGCAATAGGAGGCTCCCCATCTCTGGAACTGGCCACAGAGAACATAAAAACAGAGGGTGGTATAGTATGGCGACAGGAAGAGGAACTGATAGAAAGAGAAGGCAGGAGGGTTTGGGGTAGGATGAGAAGATCTGCTGACGGAGAAGAGCAAAGGAAATTCTTCAGTAGACCCGCATGGACTCTAGAGGGCACACAAGTGCCATTCATAAGATATCTGGATGAGTTAAATGGCAGGTGGATATAGACAGACAAATAGGCAGGGTACATCTGATGCATTTTTAAATGTGTTATGGGAGGGGGAGATTATTGGCTTGCTTTTCTTCTTATTTTTATGATGTATTTTGTATTTGTAATTTTATGTTGTGACCACCCTGAGATCTACAGATATAGGGAGATATACAAATTTAATAAACAACATAGGTATCTCGCCACTGCAAAAACAGGATGCTGGTGTAGATGGGCCTTTGTCCTGGTCCAGCAGGCGCTCTCATGTGTTGAGAGTTGAGAGAGTTCTGCTAGTAGCCTACGCTATATGTCCCTCCCCTCCACTGCGTCACTTGACTCAGCTCTTTGAATTCTGATGTCCTGCATTATGAACTGAACAAAATGGCATTCCCATACCCTCCAACATTTCTTCGATGAACACAGGGACGTCCCATTCCATAATGATAATTTTACTATTTATACTCAACACATCTTACTGGGTTGCCCCAGCCACTCTGGGCAGCTTCCAACATATATAAAAACATAATAAAAAATAAACATTTTTTTTAACAAAAAAAACAAAACCATTCCCTATACAGGATTGCCTTCAGACCGCTTGGAGATTGGATAACTCTATACCGTCCAACGTTTCTCCAATGAAAATAGGGACATCCCAAGGAAAAGTGGGACATTCCAGGATGAAATAAGAAATTGGGACAGCTTCTCTAAATTAGGGATGTCCCTGGGAAATAGGACACTTGGAGGGTCTGCATTCCAGGTCAGATGCCACCTTCCCTGAATGCTGTCTCAGCAGGTGATGGCTGTCCGGAGGGTTTTCCTAGCCAATGGGAGCCAGAAAAGGCCTCCTTACTGGCCAGGAGAATTGAATTCCAGCACCTGCTCAATTAGACCAATTGCAGGCAGCCATGGAGGTGGGCACTCTTCAGCAGACAGGCCCAACAGAGCTGGCAGGCTTCACTTGGGTGTGCACTGGGGGATTTACAGTGGTACCTTGGGTTACATACGCTTCAGGTTACATACGCTTCAGGTTACAGACTCTGCTAACCCAGAAATAGTGCTTCGGGTTAAGAACTTTGCTTCAGGATGAGAACAGAAATCGTGCTCCAGCAGCGCGGCAGCAGCAGGAGGCCGCATTAGCTAAAGTGGTGCTTCAGGTTAAGAACAGTTTCAGGTTAAGAACGGACCTCTGGAACGAATTAAGTACTTAACCCGAGGTACTACTGTACAGAGGACCATTTTTAAGCAGAGTCTTTAGTGCCATATCTCTGGGATGCTGCAGCAGCAAGATTCCTGCAATATCAAGGGGTTAGACTAGATGACATCTGAGTTGCTTCCCAATCCTATGATCCTAAGACTTTATAACATATTTGACTGGATTCTTTTTCTTATAAAAAGTTTTTTTTTAGCAATCTTTATTATTTAATCATCTTCTCCCATAAGCAACTATTAAGAACAACAAGCAAATACACTTAGCCTACTTGTAGACAGATCTATCCCATCTCAACTCTCATATGAATCGGAGCCCAGCAGCTAAAAAAAATAAAATAATGGTCTGAAATACTGAGGGAAACAGCACATTTCCAAGCAGGCAGATGAGGACCTCGAGCAACTCAGCCATTTGTTATCAGTTGAAAGCATGAACAGGCACCAAACTAAAAGGTTATGCAATATTCATCTATCTATCTATATATATACAGAGAGAGGGGACAGAGAGAGGCACTTCAGTATTGTTTTGAAGACACCCCGTGCAAAAAAAAAAATACATTTAAAGTCTCAAGATCCAGCAAAGGTCTGCTAACATAATATTCGGACCCATCTAGGACGTAAGGTTGAGCTGAGTTGCTATTTTGGTTCCTTACGTCCACCCGCACCACCAGTATCTTCTAGTAAATTCATTTCTATTTTGTAAGAGAGCTTTTTAAAAAAAATATGCCATGCTCACCATGCTGGAGAAATTCCCATCTGTTTCTTACTAGAGCTACTGTGCACATAACTCTCTTTTTAAAAAATCAACGGCAGCAACAAGTGAAGGAGGTTTCAGAATCACTACTTGTGTTCTGTTAGATGGTTTTATTACTAGCTGAGCGGTGTACTTCATAAGGGGGAGTACGGAATGTATTTACTACTTTGTACTGAGTTTGTACTCTGTTCACACCCCTACACCATGAAGCCTGGCTGATTCGACGCATTTCCAGCTCACCATAGTCAATCTCTTCATACATTTCTTGTTCTTGAATCATGTCCTCTTTCGGTGGTCTGTCACCAAATGTTGGCAGGAACCACAGATAACGATTTGGGAAAAATACGATCACTTGTCCCCATATCAATGTCCCTAGGCCAAAAAAGATGGACCACAACCACTGCTCCAGTGAAAGCTTTGTGCAGCTAAAGGGCTTCCCTCCAAGCTGAACAATGATGACCTGTACGACCAACGTTCCCACGCTGATAAAGCAAAAAATGGTATTACTGAATATCCCCGAGAAAACATTCCTTTCCCCATGAATCTTCCGGGCGTTGACTTCGTTAAAAATCTGCATCATTACAAATGTGTTAAATACAATGGTGTAATGCTCGGTGGGAGGGTAATTCATGGGCACATTTCTTGCGTTTTCTATATCGAAGAATTTTTCACCTGCAAAAACAAGGGAAAATACAACGACCATCTGGTAAATGGCGTGGAACAAAATGTTTTTCAGCATCGTGCGGGAGATAAGAGGCTTATTTCTCCCATAAGGCTTGCGTAACAGCAGAGCTTCAGTTGGCTTTTCTGTTGCTAAAGCAAGAGAAGCAAAGGTATCCATTATGAGGTTGACCCACAACATCTGAACAGCTTTCAGAGGGGAATTCTGGGTGACACACGCACCAGTAAAAGCGACTACAACGGCTACCACGTTAACAGTGAGCTGAAACTGAAGGAATTTGGAGATGCTGTCATACACATTCCGACCCCACATGACAGCTTTGACAATGCTTGAGAAGTTGTCGTCGGTGATAATGATATCAGAAGCTTCTTTGGCAACATCAGTTCCAGCGATGCCCATTGCAAAGCCAACGTCGGCTTTCTTCAAGGCAGGCCCGTCATTGGTACCATCTCCAGTCACCGCTACCACCTGCCTTTGTTCGGTGATGTTGCTGTTAATGATCCCTGTGACCAAGTTGTATTTGTCCGCAGGTGAGGACCTTGCAAGGACACAAAGAGTAGGCCAAACTCTGTCCATTAGCTCTTGTTTAATCTCTCCATCTGGGCCACGTATCAGCCGATTAAAATCATGACCCTCCATGCACACAGAGGCTTCCCCTTGCTTCAGAATGCCACATTTTGTAGCAATTGCCCGAGCTGTGTTGATGTTATCCCCAGTAATCATACGTACGACAATGCCAGCTTTCTGGCATTTTCTTATTGCATCAGGAACTTCAGGTCTCACCGGATCTTCGATGCCTACAATTGCAATACAGGTCAAGTCCTTGAAAATCTCATCCTCGTTGTCCCAGTTGGGTTCTGAGTAGGCAGCTGGGAATTCCTTGAATGTCAGGCCTATGGTGCGGAGTCCCTCAGAGGCCATTGGTTCAATCACATTATTGATCACGTTTTCTCTGTCTTTTTTGGAAAAAGGTCCTGAATGCCCACTGGCATCCAATATGCGGGTGCATTTCTTAAGCAGTATTTCAGAAGCTCCTTTGCTGTACAGCCGAAAGCTGCCATTGGGTTTCTTCACCACTGTGCTCATCGATTTCCGGTCAGAGTTGAAGGTGTACACTTTGTGCAGTGTCTCTTCCGTTATCCTAGCCCTTACAGCTTCAAAATTCTGGTTCAGTTCCAATAGCAAACCAAGTAAGGCACATTCCGTTTTATTGCCAATTTGGCGAGGGAGTCCTCCTTCCTTTTCAGGAGGCAGGATTGTAGATGTATAAGAACAATTTACAGCAATGCCTTCAAGCAAGTAACTCAGTATGGTGGGCCGAATCATTTCAGGGGTGGGGACAACTTTATAATGTGCGCTACCAATAAAAATCTGGACTACTGTCATTCTGTTCATGGTCAAAGTCCCTGTTTTATCAGAACAGATTGCAGTTGCATTTCCCATGGTTTCACAGGCATCCAGGTGCCTCACCAGGTTATTATCCTTCATCATTTGCTTCACAGAATAGGCAAGGGAGATGGTGACAGCCAGCGGCAGACCCTCTGGAACAGCTACGACCAAAATGGTCACTCCAATAATAAAGAACTTCACCATGTGCTGTATATAAATTGGTGTGCATTCAACAGTCCAAGCACGCTTCTCAATTGCAAAGGTTTGAACAAGGAAAAAAACAATAAGGACGAGGACTGTGATCACTGACATTGCCAGGCCTGCTTTGCCAATCTGAAGGGCTAACCGTGTGAGTTTTGCTTGCAGAACTGATTTTTCTTTTGGGTGTGATGTATGCTTCTGGGCACTTTCCTCGTCCTCAACCTGGTTTCCAGACACTTTGCGCGGCTTTGGGGCAGATTCCTTGCTGTGTCCGGGAGTCATGTCTCCTGAATTTTTCTGCTTCTTCTCTGGCTGGTCATCTCCGACTCCGAGTAAAGTGAGGATGATCCCTGTTTGTGAGTTTATGCCCACAGCTGTAATAACCATTCTCCCAGAGCCTTCCATCACATGGGTACCTGAAAGTAACATTGGGTCCTCTGTCAATGACTTCTTGACGTGATCTGATTCCCCTGTGAGGGAGCTCTCGTCAACTTTCAGATCATGCCCCTGGATAAGCAAACCATCAGCTGGCAAAAGGTCACCATATTTGATCTGTGCAATGTCCCCAACCACTAATTCAGCTACTAGCACCTGCTTGCACTCCCCATGCCTGATAACAGTAAACTTCTGCTCACTTTCAATGCGACTCTGCAACCCCCTAAATTGTTTTTCCTTACTCCAGTCATTGAAGGCAGTTACCAACACCACACATATGACAGATAAAAGTATTGCAAACCCTTCGATCCAGTCAGCCTCCTCGTCTTCCTCTTCCCCTCCGGGCCCTTCCGCATGGCATGCTGAAAGATTCCTCCAGGTGGCTTGTAAAAGGAGAGTCCCAGGGAGATGATGGCTGCAGCTTCTAAGATACATAGTGTCATATCCTGGAGTGCTTCCCACATTAATTCCAGGAAAGTTAGGGGCTTCTTAGGTGGTATAAAGTTACTTCCGAATACAGCTTTCCGTAGCTCTACTTCTGATTGGGTACCAACGATTCCAAGTGTGGGTGAAGTCTTCAGTCTTTTGCAGATTTCAAAGATATCGCCATAAAGTTCCTTTATTTTCTCCACTGCCTCGGACTTGCGGTATTCCATCAGGTGTCGCAGCTCTGAGAGAGTGACCCCAAAGTTTTTATCAGCAGTGTCTCTAGTGACCATCATCCTTCTTCCGTCTTCTTCCACAGAAAGAAATGAAAGAATCAAGATGGCTGCTATTCTGTATCCACAATCAAGGAAGGGTTTTTTCCCCACGCCCACCCCCACTTGGTCTGTACAGAGGACAGCAGGGGGTACTGTCAGCTCAATAGCAGAGAGCCTTTTAAATTCAGAGATCCATCATCATTTACATGTCTACACAAGTTCTTTTGGATTACCTTCTGTATATTTTTTTTTTAAACCAGGCAAGAACGATAGGCTCAGATCTTCATTTATTCTCAATTTCCACACCTAGAGACGCATGTTCTGTGTGTTTGCTTCAGTTTTTTTCTTGCTCCATGTTCCCAGATCAGCCCTGTCCCAACAGCCTGGGATCACTAGCTCTACGTTTCAGGAAAAGGGTGTAAAACACAGCTCTGTATTTCAGGCTCTTTCATTTCTCCATGTTGGTTGATGTCTCCTCAAAGCGGCAGTTACAGGAGGATGAGAAATGGAATCGGAATCCTACCAGCAGCCAATGAATCATGGCTTGTGTCACATTTCCTCAGCTCTGAGCGTACATGTCACTCATAGGTGTGGTGAGTAGAGTTCAGAATTCTAAATTCTGATTCTGTTTTCTTATCTCTTTCACTGTGTTGATGAATTCTGCTGCTGTTTTGTCAGCACTTTAATTTTCCCTGGTGAATTATGAGGCTGTTTCCAGGTGGCCTTAACTTTGCTTGGTGAATTCTTATTCTCTCCCCCCCACACACCCAGTCTAAACTTTTTTTGGGAGGGGAGGGGGGTTAATTCTTTCATGCTGTTCTCTGCTCACCTTCACTATGAAAGATGGATTCTGAAGCTGTGGACCCCAACAGACAGGACTTTTTTAAGCTGGGGGAAGGGTTTATCTACTGTAATAGTGGTAGATTTATACTGGATCCATTCACAAGACACTTCTACATTATTACTACTACTGAGATGCTCCCCCAGTGTTACTGCATTATTACCATCTGTAGGGGCGCCCTTGCACCATAAGTGGGATGAAAAATAAAGCAGAACATTTGTGGGAGGAAAAGATTATGAATAACCAATAATGCTGTGCACTGGATACAGCTGCATCCCAAGTCAAATTGGACATATCCAGAGGGATTTGAGCCTCCTCTGAGTCACATTTAGACAGCTACAGGTCACCATAGGTCAGGTTGGGTGGCCAAGAACAATTTGGAGCTGTCATGAACTGAGGTTATGGCTTCAGCCTAGTGACTGGCCAGGAACAGTGAGCATGCAGGCATCCCGTTCCTCTTCAGCCACAAAAGAGAACTATCATCAGCCTCTGTGGTTGGCAGGTGCAATGAATCTAGGAGTGACAGATATACAAGGAAATTTGCCTGGTGGTGGCGAGGGCTGGGCAAGCACACTCTTCCCCCGCCTGGTATGCATGCACTCAGACCTGCCCTGGGTGCTGGTGAACACCCCCAGTTGGAGGGTATGAAGTTATGCAACCCCTCTAGCCAGGGAGAGAAATAACTATACAACCTTTAGAAGACATCTGAAGAGAGCCCAGTATAGGGATATTGTGTAATGTTTAATGTTTATTGTTTTATTATGATTTTATATGGGAGGCAGTGGAAGACAGAAGTGCCTGGTGTGCTCTGGTCCATGGGGTCACGAAGAGTCGGACATGACTAAATGACGAAACAACAACAAATGATTTTATATATGTTGGAAGCCGCTGAGAGTGGCTAGGGCAACCCAGTCAGATTGGTGGTGCATAAATATAATAATAATAATAATAATAATAATAATAATAATAATAATAGATGTCCCTATTTTGCATTGGAGAAATGTTGGATGGTATGCTGCCCTACTCTATTCCCCATTGATGGGAAATACTTTGCCATTCACAAAATCATGCCTGCTTACTGTATAAGAACAGAGAGGAAGAGTTTGTGGAAGGCTCGTGTGACTCTTTTATCTGGAGGTGTATGTAAATATAGGGTCATCTTCCTATTTAAATCAGCCAGACTCCCTCCCAGCCACATCTACAGCAAAAGGCAGAAAGTGTCTCAAAGCTCAAGTTGGGAAAATGCTACTTTTATTTCCAATTGTTTTCCTTTCAACCATCTTTGGGGGTAACTTTTCTCCATTTCATCATAGGGGGGTGTTCAGTTCTAGGGTAAACATGAAGGGGGTCTTAATAGTATATCTCTTTCTTCCTAGGTGTCCAATCAGAGGTTCGGCTGGAGGAGTCTGGAGGAGATGCCAAAAGGCCTAGTGAGTCTCTCCGTCTCTCCTGTCGAGCCTCTGGCTACACCTTTAGCAACTACTGGATGAGCTGGGTAAGACAGGCTCCCGGGAAGGGTCTGGAATATGTGGCAGAAATAAATCCAGAGTCCACTACCTTTCGCTACGGGGATAAAGTGAAGGGACGATTCACCATCTCCAGGGACAATTCAAACAGTTTGTTGTATCTGCAAATGAACAACCTGAAGCCCGAGGACACGGCTGTGTATTACTGTACAGGAGCACACAGTGAGAGGAAGTGATACTGAAGCCTGGCAAAAACCCTCTTTCGCTCATGGCTGCTAAATTTATTAAGCTGCAAGAGACTAAATAGATTGATTCTGGTCGCTGGGACAATAGGTTGATCTTGTGTTACCATTCAGAGATAGACAGAAATCCATCTGTCTGTCTCTGAATGAAAAAAGAAAAGAGGAAGAGGAGAAGAGGAGGTTAAGGGGTGATATAATAGCCATGTTCAAATATATAAAAGGATGTCATATAGGGGAGGGAGAAAGGTTGTTTTCTGTTGCTCCAGAGAAGCGGACACGGAGCAATGGATCCAAACTACAAGAAAGAAGATTCCACCTAAACATTAGGAAGAACTTCCTGACAGTAAGAGCTGTTCGACAGTGGAATTTGCTGCCAAAGAGTGTGGTGGAGTCTCCTTCTTTGGAGGTCTTTAAGCAGAGGCTTGACAACCATATGTCAGGAGTGCTCTGATGGTGTTTCCTGCTTGGCAGGGGGTTGGACTCGATGGCCCTTGTGGTCTATTCCAACTCTATGATTCTATGATCTCTACAGCGGTAAATGTGTGTGCTCTCTCCAGACATGTTATAATACATACATAGCTAGGTCAGGGGCAAAGCCTGCCATTATAATGCTGCTCTTAATTCAGATTGTGATTGTTTCAGATATGAACGGGATCCAGAAAAATGATTCTCACCTTCTCTCTCTCTTTGTCTCTCTATTCACAAGCTACCAAGCTACACTTGCTTTTCACGCAGAGAGAGTAATTGCTAGTTCCCTGCAGGATAGGTTTATTCCCCATTCAGAAAATCTCATATTAAATGTAATTGAAAAGACTTTACACCTTGAAAAAGAGACAAGGCACGTACTTTTGTAAACCAAGAAAATCTTTTAACTTTTTTAAAAAAATAATAAAATAGAAAAGATTCAAAGACACGAAAGGCATTTTATAGTACTTCTCCCCTCATTCCCCAACCCCTCATCCAAAATATACCAAATGAAAAGTGAACCTGGTCAGTCACCATCATGTATCAACAGGAATTAAAAGGAAAGGTTGTGGCTGATGGACCAAAAAGAAATCAAAATATCTGTCCTCCATAGCCGCCTGGAGATGAGAATGGAACTGAAATGGAACTCTGTTAAACTGTTGTGTTTGGTGGTTTGTGGACCCCTCTTCTGGAGTAAGCTGAGGTGGATGGCTTAGCACACAACTCATTTCCCTAGGTGCACCCAGATATGGTTTGTGTGTATCTTTGTCTGTGTACCACAGGCATGTGTGACACCTACTCACCTCTCCACTGAGATGAAGGATAAGAATCAAGTTGAGGGGCACACTATTCAGGAATACTATTTGCTGTGTTTAGATGAGGGCTCCATCCTGGCTTGGACTATTGGGAATGTGGTCCCCAATAGAGTTGGCCATGCTGCCTGGGTCTGATGAGAGGTCTGATCTAGCAACATCTATCCTCAGCAAAGGAGTCTCCCAAAACAACTTCATTTCTTCTCTAATAGGAGAAAGCAGTAACATCCAGGCACCAGCAAATTAATAATGAGTTCTTTATAGAACTTTAAAGGGGAAGAATGTGAAATTTACAAAAATGATCAGCAACTCAAAGTTCAGTACTCAAGAAAGACAGCTACCCCTCCATTCAGCTGTACATGCCACGAGTCTCTCCAGCCATGATATAATGAGCACCTAGGACAGGTGCAAAACCTGCCATCATGCTGCTGCTGTTCTTCCTTTATTGTGGTCATCTGAATGGGATCCAGACGGAAATTCTCCCCTTTGAGTATCTTTCTACTCACAAACTACCAAATCTTTGTTTTACATATGCCCACACACCCTATTTTTAACGCTGTCAGTTCCCCACACGACAACTGAATCCCCTGTTCAGAAAACAGAAACATTCAAAGCCATGAAAGGAAGTTTATAGTACTTCTCTCCCCATACTCCAATTCCTCATTCAAAATAACAACAACTCAAAATTAAAATATCCACATTTGTTTTCAGTACAGCTGTATGCTTGTTGGTCCTCTACAATGCCCAACTTCACTAGAAGGAAAATTCATTCATCTGAACCCCTGAACTCTTCAATTTTTCCTACTGCTTGTCACAAGGGGGCAGGCATGGTGTGGAGAATACAGGATGCCTTCAGCTGTAACTGAAATAAAACCACAATCCAAGTACTGTTGCTGTTTTCAGCTGTGAGTCTAATTATATTTTAGACATTTCCTTGATAACTGTTTATGTACAAATCCCAGGAAAGATTGACTCCCTGAGAGACTTACCCACACTCATCTCTGTTTCTTCAGTCCTTGGATAATGATTCATGGTGGGGAAATGTACCTGAATTGTTAGGAGAACAATATTCCCACTCCCAGAGATACAATTCCCAGAGCTCCCTGGGAAGAGGAACTGACTCTGGGAATTGTAGCTCTGGGAGGCGAATAGGGGTCTCCTAACAACTCCTAGCACTCTTCACAAACCACAGCTCCCATAATGCTTTGAGGGAACCTATGCATTTTTAAAATGGTGATACAGTGCTTTAACTGCATGGTGTGAGTGTGGCCTCATTGTATGGGACAATGGGCTGAAAACCAAGGCCAGCCACCATCAGCAGGTCTGAGGTATAAAATAAAAAATGAAATAAAAATCTGTCACTGGTACCAACAACCTTTCAAAGCACCCTGCACATCCAAAATGCTGGATTTTACATTCCCCCCATACACCATCCATTACAAATTATCTCTATGCACGTGTTTGCATGAAGCAGTGGCAAAGCCATCAATAAACCTTGATGCCAAACCTGTTTCCAGATACCCTCTTTATGTGTCATGAGCCGGGGGGGGGGGAGGCCTCATGCAAATATCTCCAGGAGGTTTCAAAAGAATCTCCTTCAATATAAAAGTTTCACATGCTTCCACTCCCCAAATCACTAAGACATTACTTCATTAACATTATGAAGTTTTTCTTATTCTTGTTTTCTTTGGCAGCCTTTCCAAAATGTAAGTGTGTTTTCGGTGGAAAGTTGAGAAATATTGGAGGTGATTGGATGGTGCTCAAACATTAATTGAAACATTCTCTGCTTTTAGGGGTCTTCTCAGACATTCAGCTTGTATTGTCTGGGTCAGGAATGGTGAGGCCAGGAGAGAACCTCAACCTGCTCTGTAAGGTCACAGGTTTCTGCATCTCCACTCAGCATTGTGTGTGGCACTGGGTCCGCCAAGCACCTGGGAAAGGGCTAGAATGGACTGGAAGCACATACCCCTATGATGGGGGAAAGTGGTATGCCCCTTCTCTGAAGAATCGTGCAACCATTTCATCAGTCAACTCCAGGAACGAGGTCTCCCTCCAGCTGAACACCCTCACAGCTGCAGATTCGGCCATGTATTTCTGTGCCCGAGAATACCACAGTGAGATAAGGTCTACTGGGGCTGTGTATAAAAAGGAAGGAACTGCTTCCAAATCCGGAATCCCCACTTGTAATTGCTGAGTAATAAATATACTGTGTAAAGATACTTAACCGAGCAATCCTGTGCTCTGCTGATGCTGGGGAGGGAACAATTATGTTGCAGCATTTTGGTTATTAGCCTAATGAAGGCATGGTATGGGCATTTACTATGTGACTCAACATCTTTGCTTTCGATGAAATTATGAGATGTGGTGAATGTTGGACCCAAAGCCTAGCAGGGAAGTGGCAAGGACATGCACACAAGCCCCACTCTCAGAGACTTCACATACAGTGGTCACCCTCAATCCTCCGACACCACTCCTTCTGCCTGTGTTTGGGACTGTGCGTTTCTTTGCCTTAGCATTATTAGGCATAACCTCAAACCTGCATTTGTAGGAGCTAGCAGAGCTCCATCAAGTAAGCCAGCTTCCTTACCATACACTTGATTTTCCATTTATTTTATTTTATTCTTACATTACTACAATGTTACAATAAAAACCCCATCTTTTAACATTTTTTGCATTACATTCTCTCTCTCTCTCTCTCTCTCTCTCTCTCTCTCTCTCCCTCTCCCCCCCAATTATCCTTGAATAATTTCACCCTTTTATATCCCTGTGACTTCCCTCCACCTGTGTTTGGCATCATTAAGTTTGTTACTGTATCCTTTAATTTGTGTTTAAACAATATATTTAAAATATTAACCATAACATATTGTACCTCTCTTATCATAACTTTGTGGATTTCAGACTAAACATATCATTCTTTTGGAACTGTTTTACCATATAGTCACCTACACATTCCCATTCTTTCTTTAAGTTTTGATTAGATAAAGTCCCGTCAGTGGCAGAATGGCCAATTAAATTTTGTGAATTCCTTGAATTGGCCAAAATGACGGCAGCAATTAGATTGCAATCTAATCAAAACTTGATTCCCAGATGAATAACAATAGAAACATGATGCTTTTAACACCAACCAGTTTTTTAAATGTTTCCATCCGTATTCCACTTCACATGCAGCCTGATGAAGAAGAACTAAAGACTGCTTGCTATTGTGCAAGTTACTCCAACGATGTTCTTGTCCTACAAGCCATTTATCAACTGACACATTTGCTGAAATATTTTTACCGACGGAAACCCCATGAAGCACCCAGAAGTCAAACTTTGTTCTGTGAAAGGCAGGCATGTCCAAAGTCCATTTGGGGGGCCTAATCCGGCTCCCTGGCTGGTTTTATCTGACCCCGAGACAGTTTGTTTATTGGGGTCAAATCCTTAGAAAAGCTCAACAAGTACAATCCTAAAAAAAGCTCAAGAACTTTGGGGTAAAATCCTAAAAGAAGCTCAACAACTTTGGTCAGCCCTCATGCACATTCACTTCATCAAATCTGGCCCTTGTTGGAAAAAAGCTTGGGCACCCCTGGTGTAAGGCTTTATTCCAGTTGCTGTCTTGCATCATCATATAGCAGTCTTCTTACATTTCCAGCATTTTACAACCAAAACTTTGGCATCAGTGTCAGGAATCTGTTGTGAATGTCCATCTTTCCTTTTATTAACAACCACTGGCAGACAATTCCACAATAATATTTCTCTTTCATTGCTGAACTATTCCTCATAGTTTTTAATGAATTGGGAACCTAAAAGTGCTATTTTTGGCATTGAACTCACACCTCCTACCCTACAGCTCTCTGTAGCATAGCTGTCAACTTTTCCCTTTTCTTGTGAGGAACCCTATCCAGAATAAGAGAATTTCCCTTTAAAAAAAGGGAAGCGTTGACAGCTTTGCTCTGTAGATTTCATGAGAAATTGTTTGCCATTCCTGAAATCATGCCTTCATTTTATACTTGAAATCATTTTATACGTACTGTATAAAAACAGAGAGCATTTGTGGAAGGCCTGATTGACTCTTTTATCTGGAGGTATATGTAAATGCACGGTCAGCTTCCTGTTTAAATCAGCCAGACTCCCTCCCAGCTAGAGCTACACCAAAAGGCAGAACGCTCTGTAGATACAGGATCACTTTCAGTCAATGCATCTCAAAGCTCAAGTTGGGAAAATGCTGCTTTTATTTCCAATTGTTTTCCTTTCCATCTTTGGGGGTAATTTTTCTCCATTTCCTATTAGGGGTGTGTTCAGATCTTGAGGTTAACATGAAGGGGGTCTTAATAGTATATCTCTTTCTCCCTAGGTGCCCAATCAGAGGTTCGGCTGGAGGAGTCTGGAGGAGATGTCAGAAGGCCTGGGGAGTCTACCCGCCTCTCCTGTCGAGCCTTCGAGTTCACCTTTGGCAGCTACTGGATGAGCTGGGTGAAAAAGGTTCCTGGGAAGGGCGTCGAATGGGTGGGAGAAATACAGCCAGATTCAGCTAGCATTACCTACTTGGATAAATTCAAAGGGCGATTCACCATCTCCAGGGACAATTCAAACAGCTTGTTGTATCTGCAAATATACAACTTGAAACCTGAGGACACAGCTGTGTATTACTGTGCAAGACGCACAGTGAGAGGAAGTGAATCTGAAGGCAGGCAAAAACTGCCCTCTGCTTATGGCAGCTAAGTTCATTCAGCTGCAAGAGACCGGAGAAAACTACAGTGGTACCTCAAAAGTTAAATGGAATTAGTTCCGGAAGTCTGTTCGACTTTCACAACGTTTGGAAACCAACACACGGCTTCCAACTGGCTGCAGGAAGCTCCCACAGGCAATTGGAACTCGTGGAAGCCCCGTTGGATGTTTGGCTTCCAAAGAACGTTCACAAACTGGAACACTCACTTCGAGGTTTGCAGCGTTCGGAAGCAAAAACTTTCGACTCACGAGGTGTTCGGGATCCAAGGCACAACTGTATTCAGATAACTGAGACAAGTTTGATCTTGTCTTTTCTTGGGTTCCCATTCAGAAAGAGATATCCACCCACTGATACAGCTGTAAATGTGTGGACTGTCATTAGTCAAGTTACAATGGAAATACTTTGTCGGGGGCAAATCCTGCCATCACGATGATGCTCTTCTTTCAGACTGGGCATCTGAATGGCATCAAGAATGACAATTCTCACATCTCCTCTTTCTGTGTTTCTCTTTTCACAACCTGCTTTTCTCAAACACAAAGGTGCAGAACGCTCTCACAACACTTTTCAGAAAACAAAGCGATGAAAGAAACCTTATGGTACTTCTCCCATCATTCCCCAATCTCTCAATCCAAATATACAAAACCAAAAGCGGTCCTGGCCTTTCTCCTTCATCAAATGACAGGACTTTAAAAAGGTTATGCTATGCATGATGGGTGAGGAAGAAACCAGTATGTCTGTTCTCCATATCTAGCTGGAGATGAAAATGATACCATCTTTCAGAAGCTGAGGTTGAACTCTCGTAAAATTATTTTATTCATTCATACATACATACATACATACCCCGCCCACTCTTGGTGGCTCCCACAAATTAAAAGCATAATAAAGCATCACACATTAAAAACCTCCATAAATAGGGCTGCCTTCAGATGTCTTCTAAAAGTCGGATAGTTGTTTATTTCCTTGACATCTGATGGGAGGGCGTTCCACAGGGTGGGCGCCACCACCAAGAAGGCCCTTTCCCTGTAACCTCACTTCTCCCAGGGAGGGTGCTGGACCTCAGTGTCCAGGCAGAATGATGGGGAGTGGAGACGGTCCTTCAGGCACACTGGGCCAAGGCCATTTAGGGCTTTAAAGGTCAGGAGCAACACTCTGAATTATGCTCAGAAACATCATGGGAGCCAATGTAGGTCTTTCAGGACCAGTGTTATGGTTGGTGAACTGTGGACCCTTGTTCTGGAGTAAATTGGGGTTGCAGCTTAACACACACCTGTTGGGGGATTCCACAGGTCTATTCAGATGTTGTTAGTGTGTCTATGTGTCTAAGTAACACAGCCATGTGTGACATTTCCCACCCACTCACCACTTTACCCAACTCAAAGATAAGAACCAAGATGGAAAACAACAGTGTCTGTTAAGCTAAGTTAAGCTATGACATTCGCTATGTGTGTGCCCATGGCTCCCATTTTGGGGAAGCTGGTGATTTATTGAAGTGGGACATTCTGCAACAAAAATTGACATATCTAGGTTTTTGTAATAAGGAACGCCAAGACTATTTAACATGAGCATAAGAGCATAATGAAAGTCCTGTCAGTTCCCCACACTACAAGTGAATTCCCTGTTCAGAAAACATTCAAAGTCATTAAAGGAACTTCATTAGACCTCTCTTCCCACCCTCCAATCCCTCATTCAAAATATCAACAGCTCAAAGTTAAATTATCTAAATTTGTTTTCAGTACAGCTGTATGCTTGGTGCTCCTCCACCCTGCCCAACTTCACTAGACAGAAAATTCATCCATCTCTACTAACCCATAATTTCACACATTAAGCATCTTCTCTCAAAACTGGGCCTCAGAACTCTTCACTTCTTCTCCCTGTTTCTCAAAAGGGGGCAGGCATGGTGTGGAGAAATCAAGATGCCTTCAGCTGTAACTGAAATAAAACCACAATCCAAGTACTCTTGCTGTTTTCAGCTGTGAATCTAGTTATTTTTTAGACGTTTCCTTGATAACTTTTTATGTGCAAATCCCGGGAGAGGTTGACTCCCTGAGAGACTTTCTCAAACTTGTCTCTGTTTCTTCAGCCTGTGCTTAGTGATACCTTGGTCTAAGAACAGTCCTGTTAATGAATGATTTGGGCAACACACTCTGCAAAACCAGGAGTAGGTGTTCCGGCTAGCGAACTTTGCCCCAGAAGACGATGTTGAGTTTTCTTAATATTGATGTGGTCAATGATGCTACTCAGAGGTGTGTGTTTGTAATTATAACCTGCATGGTGGCACATCTGTGAGCTCTTAACAATTCAACACACCTGTAGTATCTTAACAATTTAACTAATTAGCAGGGGGAGTTTACCTGCTGCACTGAATGCAGTAATGTGATAGGGTAATTGATTATTTTGAAAACTGTATTTAAGTTGATCAAATGCTTTGTATGGTACTGGCTGGTGTAGAGTGGTGAGTTGCAGCTGTTTGATTATTATTTAAAAATAAAGTAAGCAAAGATATTGTGGGCACATTTTTATTCTGTATCCCCAGTCGCTGCGCAAATTCGGTTGGCGAAGAAAGTCCAAGAGATGAATGGAAGCCGACAGATGGAAGGGCACTGGTGACGGGAAGCCTCATTGGGGAAAGCACACCCTTGGTTTAAGAACGTTTTCAGCTTAAGAACGGGCTTCTGGAATGAATTAAGTTCATAAACGGAGGTACCACTGTACATGGTTGTTAAATGTGCCTGAGTTGTTAACAGACCCCCTACTCCCCCCCCCCCAGCTATTATTCCCTGACTTTCCTAGGAAGAGGGACCAACTGTTAAACCATTCTGGGAACTGTAGCTCTGGGAATAGAATTGGGATCTCTTAACGGCTCTCAGCACCCTTCACAATGTACAGCTCCCATAATGCTTTGTGAGAAGGTTCAACTGTTTAAAGCGGTGTCACAGTGCTTTTAACTGCATGGTGTGGATGTGGCTTCAGGGTCATTTGGACAGTGATCTGAAAGCATGAACTGCGAAAAGCCTGCCACAACCAGCCATTTTCAATTGTAAATATTGGGTTTTGCTTTCTGCAAATAGTTCCTCTATTACAACTTTGGGAAGGGAGGAGAATCAGTGAGGAAGCCAGCAGCAAACCCTATAACCAGAATTGCTTCTAGTACCTCCTTTTATGTTAGGAGTCACAGGGGGAAGGCCTCATGCAAATATCTCCAAGAGTTTTAAAAAAGAATCCACTTCAATATAAAATCTTTCCTTGCTTCCCGCTTCAAGATCCCTTCTTTCCTCTCTTGTTAGGACATTACTTTGCTAACATGATAAAGTTCTTGTTGTTTTTGTTTTCTTTGGTGGCCTCTCAAAAATGTAAGTGTTTTTAACTGTGGGAAGTTCAGAAATATGCATCTATTTCATGTGGTGATTAGATGATTTTTCAAGTGCTTACTGAAAATTCTGTTCTCAAGGGGTGTTAATTTATTTCAAGTATGTACAGTATTGATTCATTTCATGTGTGGATTGAATGCTATTCAAACATTAATTGACAAATTCTCTGTTTTCAAGGGGTCTTATCAGACATTCAGCTTGAATTGTCTGGGCCAGGAATGAAGAGACCGGGAGAGAACCTCAGCCTGCTCTGTAAAGTCACGGGTTTCTCCATCTCCACTCAGCATTGTGTGTGGCACTGGGTCCGCCAAGCACCTGGGAAAGGTCTTGATTTTATTGCAGGAGCAGACCCCAATGATGGGAGAAAGTGGTATACTCCTTCCCTGAAGAGCCGTACAGCTGTTTCTTCAGACAAGTCCAAGAATGAGCTCTCTCTCCAGCTGAACTCCCTGACAGCTGCAGACTCAGCCATGTATTTCTGTGTCCGAGAATACCACAGTGAATCAAGATCTATTGAGTTGTGTGCAAAAACAGGAAGCTTTCAGAATGTAGAATCCCTGCTTCTGTTCAGAGACTAATAAAGTCTACTGCATAAAGACAATTAACAGAGTAATCCTAAACTCAACTGATGCCGGGGAAGGGAAAGCTAGGTTGCAGCATTTTGGTTGGCCTAATGAAGGTATCTCCAAATAGTTGTGTGTGTGTGTGTGTGTGTGTGTGTGTGTGTGTGTGTGTGTATTATTGCCATCAACATTTTTGCTTTTGATACAATTATGGTATGTGGTGAAAGTTGGACCTGTGACTTTATTATTATTTTCTAGAAATGTATGTAAATACAGGGTCATCTTCCTGTTTAAATCAGCCAGACTCCCTCTCAGCCACAGCTACAATGAAAGGAAGAACTCTCTGTAGACCTGGGACAATGTTCAGTCAATGCCTCTAGAAGCACAAGTGGGGGAAATGCTACCTTTCCCTCAATTCCCCCCCCCCCAGCCATCTTTGCAGTTTCCTCCCCTCCTTCTCATTTTCAGAACGGGGGGCTGTTCAATTCCTGAGCAAGGCCTTATAATGTACTACTTTCCAGATAGGTGTTCAATCTGAGGTCTACTCTCCCTACATGTCTTGGTTCCCTGGATGGTCTGGGTGTGACATTGTCCAGGGAGGGGACCAGAATACATGGGACACATAAACCAAGCTACTTGGATAAAGAGAAGGTATGATGCAGCATCTCCAGAGACAATTCAAACAGCCACCTCTATCTGCGGGTGGACAACCTTGAACCTGGGGACACATCCATGTATTACTGTGTAATACATACAGAGTGGAAGTAAATTTGAAGCCAGGCAAAAAGCTTCATTTGCTCACAGCTGCAAGGAAATGAATGAAACTATTGACTACAAATGAGAGGAAGGGTTTGATTCCTCCATTTCCATACCTCCCCTCAAAAAAGGGTGGCCATTCTTGCATATAGATTTGCGCACCAGAGCGCTCTCTAGGCAAGTTCTTCACACATCCATTCTCAGTTCTTCTCAGTTCCCAGCTGGCAGTGAATTTCCCTCTTCACCTATGAAAGGACCATTATAGCACTTCTCTTTTTTATATTATTTTTTATTGGTTTTCCAAATTATTACAGATCGGACCAAATTACTTTCATTTAATACAATTTCTTAGGAAATATATCAGGTTTCCCGCTCCTGTTGCAAACATATGTCCATCACTTCCTCCTGTAGCCACTTCATGTCTTGGCGGTTCATCCATAGCAGGGACACACTCCCAGGTCACACCTGCTCTGCCTTTTGAGTTGGCAGACACGGGTTTAAGTGGCACAGCGGGATGCAGTGAACTCCCCAGAACCCACTGGGGAGCATTGCCAGGAATTTTACCTCATAAACCATGGCTTTCTCCTGCCAAAACCTCCCCGCTGTGGAGAGCTACCACCATAAATTGTGACGTCAGCTGGAAACCATTATAGCACTTCTCCTGCCTCACCCATTGCTGGCAAAACAGCCAACTACATGACCAATTCTGTTGCCTACAAAGGAGTGCTCTTTTTAAGCCTGCAGGGAATGGGTTTCTGCAGCTATATGGGCAACCCCTAATATAGCTGTTGAAGGCAGTTGAAGGATTTTAGGACACAGGGTTCTCCTTGTTTTCAGGTGGGCTGAAACAAGGAACTGTCAAAATGCCTTGCCATGTGTTCTAATATTCTTGCTCAAAGCAAGATATTTATACATACACTATCCATTCCACAATAATTTTCTTTCTTTGCTGATCTATGTTATTACTTAATTTTTAATCTGTACTTTCGCCCACTTTATTTCATAATATTCCTCCTGCCCAGGTGTGCTAAGAAATTACTCCTTACCCTCCAGAGTACAGGCACAGGGCATGCATAAAGTGACAAAGTTTCCAAAACCCTGTGTTGCTCTTTTATAGTGAAAAGAATACAAAAACACACTACTGTAAAGCACTGTGCAAACTGTACAGCAGCAAAGAATGATTATTATTTTTACAAAGTCCATCTGGCTGTGTTTCCAGTCCTCCATTGCCAAAATACTCCGTTGGTGCTTCTATACTCATAGGTATGCAAATCTTCAGAGAGATCTTCTTCTTTAAAGCAAGCAAACACCCTTTCTTCTACTGCATACTTGGGACTGCTTTTCTCTCAACTCTCTCAAAGAATCAGACAAGGAAAATGATAGTTTTCCTTCAACTTGTCTTCTTTTCAGCAGCTTTTAGAGGTAAATTCACCCTTCCAGTTGAAGAAAGCTGGTACATTCTGGGTGTTAATAACATGGATCTGGTCTCTCAATATGCCTTTCTTTCTAGGTGTCCATTCGGAGGTCCAGCTGGTTGAGTCTGGAGGGGATGTGAAAAGGCCTGGAGAGTCCCTCCACCTCTCCTGCCGAGCCTCTGGATTCAACTTTGGGGACACTTACATGCACTGGGTGAGACAGGCTCCTAGGAAAGGCCTGGAATGGGTGGCTTTCATACACCCCACTTCAAATTACATTTACTACTTGGATAAAGTGAAGGGACACTTCAACATCTCCAGGGACAATTCCAGAAGCTTGCTCTCTCTGCAGATGAACAGCCTTAAACCTGAGGACACAGCTGTGTATTACTGTGTAAGAGAGAGAAAGACACACTGAGAGAAAGTGAATCTGAAGCCTGGCAAAAACCTTCCTTTGCTCACAGCTGCTCGCTGAGTTGATCCAGCTGTAAGAGACTGAAAAAAAATATTCAGATAATTTAGACCAATAATCTGCACTGGAACTGAAAAAAAATCACCTCCCAAGATGACTAAAATAAAAACAATTGGAAATATATGTAGCATTTTCCCCACTTGGGATTTGAGAGGGGTTCACTGAAAGTGATCCTGTATCTACAGAGGATTTTGCCTTTTGGTGTAGCTATGGCAGAGAGGGTGTCTGGCTGTTTTAACAGGAAGCTAACCCTACTTTTTTGGGGGACGTGGGTGGCGCTGTGGGTTAAACCACAGAGCCCAGGACTTGTCGATCAGAAGGTCGGCGGTTCAAATCCCGTGACAGGGTGAGCTCCCATTGCTGGGTTCCAGCTCCTGCCCACCTAGCAGTTCGAAAGCACATCAAAGTGCAAGTAGATAAATAGGTACTGCTCCAGCGGGAAGGTAAACGGCGTTTCCGTGCGCTACTCTGGTTCGCCAGAAGCGGCTTACGCTTACGCCAGCTCCCTCGGCCAATAAAGCAAGATGAGCGCCGCAACCCCAGAATTGGCCACGACTGGACCTAATGGTCAGGGGTCCCTTTACCTTTTAACCCTACATTTACATACAGATAAAAGTGTCACACTGGCCTTCCACAGACACTCTCTCCATCTCTTTGTTAAGCTGAAGGCAGACGTGTTTGGAAATGTATGAGAATTAAGGCTGTCATTTTCTTTTAATAATGAATATTGGACGGTCCTCAGTCAAGACCTCAGAAGTTCACTACAACATCAGTTTTCCAGGAAAGAAGTGAAGACACAATTAGCCATATAGTTGAAACTGCACAAACCTGACTAATTAGGCTTTTGTGATATTTAACCTTGGAGGAAATCTCACTTTAGTATAGCAACAGCTCTGTGGCCACCATTGTAGAGTGACCAGTGCTATTTTTCTAGAAAATGAGGTGTTGGAGTTCACCATAAATGCAATGGTGCCCACCTGAGAGGTGCCGGAACTGAGTTCTGGTGAGGTCTAGCTGAAAACAAAAAAGCCAAATTCACGCCACACATTTAAATCAGGAACACATTGCAGCTCAGGAACCAAGAAGATTTAAAAAAAAAAAAAAAAAAATCCCAAGCATTATGGGAGCTGAAGTTTGTGTGTGAAGACCCCCAAACCCCCTCCAAAATAAATCACACAGGACACAGAATATTTGTTTAAGATTTTTTGGCATTAGTTTGGCCACAACTTTATTGATTACAGCATGTGAGTGGTTGCTTAGGCATTGGTTCGGACTACTTGAACCTGCACTGGCAGGAACAGGACTGACAACTGGAACCTCCATAGGTCAGTAAGGCAAAACATGCTGGGGGAGCACAGAGGTGGATTTCCACCTCTTAGTTCACGCCAGATGCTCCCAGGAACTCTGGAATGGCCCTACCCCTGAGACGGGATTGGACAGAGCAAACTGAGCCCCTGGATTCCTTTATCAGAATTCCCTAGCAGCAGTAAAAAAAATGAGGGGCAGGCACAGCCAATCCATAATCCCCTCCACCAAAGGATGCACCAATGCCTAACCACCAGCCTTACAAAGTTGTGACGATTTGCTACATGGTAGGCAAAAACCAAATGGCACCAGTCAATCAGCCAAGTGGCAAAATTCCTACTGGGCCCCTGCTCCAAAAACAGGTGACCCCCTAGACAGGCATAGCAAGGACAAAAATTAGAGGGAGGGAGGGAGATCCGCTACATGATGCAAAAGTGAAACTACTTCACCTCGTTCAGCCCCTTAAATAGCCCCTTAGTTGCCAATCAAACCCCAACCGACAGAAAATTTTCCCCAGCAACAAATGGGCAACCAATGATGTGAGGTGGTCATTCAAACAGGCCTGCCCCAGCAACAAGGAGGCAGTTGGGTGATCTCACCACAACACATTGCTCTCCATGATTTGGAGGACACAATTTGTCAGTGGTGCTGAGAGGGAGCCCTATTACCCTCACAGAACTATGATTTCAGAGTGGTTTAACAATCAGTCCCTCTTTCCGCAGAACACTGGAAATAGTAGCTTTGGATGGGGAATAGGGGTCTCCTAAACACTCTCAACGGCGACGCGGGTGGCGCTGTGGGTAAAACCTCAGCACCTAGGACTTGCCGATTGCATGGTCGGCGGTTCGAATCCCCGCGGTGGGGTGTGCTCCCGTCGTTCGGTCCCAGCGCCTGCCAACCTAGCAGTTTGAAAGCACCCCCGGGTGCAAGTAGATAAATAGGGACCGCTTACCAGCGGGAAGGTAACGGCGTTCTGTGTGCTGCGCTGGCTCGCCAGATGCAGCTTGTCACGCTGGCCACGTAACCCGGAAGTGTCTGCGGACAGCGCTGGCTCCCGGCCTATAGAG